AAAACCTTCTGACTGTGTGCCATCACCCATCATCCACTCCTGTACGTGCACAGGATCGCATCCTCCTCGGTTTTTCTCTGTGGCCTTTGGCTGTTCCATGCGATACTATGCCACGGTGTTAGTAATGGGAGAATCAATTTCATCGAGGCTACCACAGCGTAAGCTTTGAGCAATGCAATTCAATGCCCTATCGTAAAACTGAACGCATCAACATACAGCTTAAGAGCAAAAAGAATATCAAAGGGCCGTTTTATGCATGCAATACCACGTTATATCAGCTTTTCGCACATCTGGGCCGTACAGCTTCACTGACCTGATGGCGAGGTCGGCGCGTGCGCAGAGGGCTCGCCGGTGCGGGCCCGGGTCGGTGATGGCCTGCTCAGTGCGGCGCCGGTACCGCCGCTGACACTCGGCGGCGCTGGGCACCGGCTCCGACGGCACCTCCTCCGAGTCTGGCGGCACAGAGACTGTCCTCAGGCGCGGAACGGACAGGACACCGCACACAACACCGGATTTAGCCCCGCCCAGACGCTGGCGAAACAGAGACTGTCCTCAGGCACGGAACGGACAGGACACCGCACACAACGCCGGCTTTAGCCCCGCCCAGACGCTGGCGAAACAGACTGTCCTCAGGCACGGAACGGACAGGACACCGCACACAACACCGGCTTCAGCCCCCCGGAGCCCCGGAACTGGCCGCCGCGTCCAGCACCGCAGGTTGCTCATCGGGCAAGCCAGGACCTTACACACAGCTGGCGCTGTGAATCTAGCGAATAATACCAGCCTGTGCTGGTGCGCTCCAGTTTAGCTTTGGTAACAACCACTCGTACAAACGGGGAGAACCCGAAGTTCGAACCACGGGGCCTCGACGCCGCCAACACCAAACAGCATCCCCCTTTGAGCTTGATAGGCACTTCGTATCCTAGTCATCAAAAGCAAATAGCATACGCCGGCGCAACACGGGTGCGCCCAGCTGTGAACAGTTTCAAATGCCGTCCCCGGCCGTCGGTCCGGAGCCGACAGCTCGCTCTCCCGTCCCCGGCCTGTCGGTTCGGAGGCGGCAGCTCACTCTCCTGTCCGCGGCCTGTCGGTTCAGAGGCGGCAGCTCACTCTCCCGTCCGCGGCCTGTCGGTTCAGAGCCGACAGCTCGCTCTCCCGTCCCAGGCCGCCGGTCCGGAGCCGACAGCTCACTCTCCCGTCCCCGGCCCGCCGGTCGGAGCCGACCGACAGCTTCACTCTCCCGTCCCCAGCCTGTCGGTTCAGAGGCGGCAGCTCACTCTCCCGTCGCGGCCTGTCGTTCAGAGCCGACAGCTCGCTCTCCCGTCCCCGGCCGTCGGTCCGGAGCCGACAGCTCGCTCTCCCGTCCCCGGCCTGTCGGTTCGGAGGCGGCAGCTCACTCTCCTGTCCGCGGCCTGTCGGTTCAGAGGCGGCAGCTCACTCTCCCGTCCGCGGCCTGTCGGTTCAGAGCCGACAGCTCGCTCTCCCGTCCCCAGCCTGTCGGTTCGGAGCTCACAGATCACTCTCCCATCTCTGGCCTGTCGGCTCGGAGCCGACAGCTCACTCTCCCGTCTCCGGCCTGTCGGCTCGGAGGCAGGCGCAGCATTCTCACATTGTCTGGACAGACCTAAGACACTTCGACAACCGCACGACACCTGGTAACCGAACATACATGTCACACCCGGACGTTCATATGATACGTAGACGTCCATACGGCACCTAGGCATATACGCCGTACAATGCCATACACTATTACGCGCGGTAATGATCAAGGCGTACATGTCACTAGTATTCGCATACTTACTTAAAATGTTTTGTATTTATTTCAACGCAGTAACAAATTAAGGCTGCTGGTTCATTTCCTGATTTTGATCATTTGATGGACATATTTTTCATCCTAGAACTTAAAATACGTGACAAAACGGATCAAGGTGAGAGCAACACGTTCGTGGTCAAGTACACCAATGATTGAGTTCCGGCATCCCAATTCGCTACACCCGGCGCCGCGTCGGAACTGAACCAGCGGCACCTCGGCGGGACTGGACCAGCGGCGCCGCAGCGGGACTGGACCAGCGGCGCTGCGGCGGGACCACACCAGCAGTGCAGCGGCGGGACTGGACCAGCGGCGCTGCGGCGGGACTGGACCAGCGGCGCTGCGGCGAGACTGGACCAGCGGCGCCGCGGCGGGACTGGACCAGCGGCGCTGCGGCGGGACTGGACCAGCGGCGCCGGCGGGACTGGACCAGCGGCGCTGCGGCGGGACTGGACCAGCGGCGCTGCGGCGGGACCACACCAGCAGTGCAGCGGCGGGACTGGACCAGCGGCGCTGCGGCGGGACTGGACCAGCGGCGCCGCGACGGGACTGGACTAGCGGCGCTGCGGCGAGACTGGACCAGCGGCGCTGCGGCGGGACTGGACCGGCGGCGCCGCGACGGGACCGGACCAGCGGCGCCGCGGCGGGACTGGACCAGCGGCGCTGCGGCGGGACTGGACCAGCGGCGCTGCGGCGGGACTGGACCAGCGGCGCTGCGGCGGGACTGGACCAGCGGCGCCGCGGTGACGTCCCCGCGCCGATAACGATCGGAAAACAAACTCTGCGGTGAGACAATACCCACATGTGCAACCAATTACGCTTTTGCTAATGGAACTATCGTTTTAGGTTCAATAACCAGACATGCAACACGAGCAAGCACTGCCCCTGCACAGTGGAGACCTCGCCGAAATCCCCGCCCATCCGGCCAGTCCGTTGCACGCACCGCGGGGCGAGGATGTACGCGCCGGCAACGGTCGGAAAACAAACCTCTCGACGTCGACGGGCGAATTGCCCATATGCGAAGCCCATTACCTGCCCGCTAATGAGAAACTCGGTCTGGCGTCTCCAATCGCCCGCCTGTAACTGCGAGCCAGCCGGGCGGAGAGAGGTATGAGTGATCTCTTGGTGGTCAAACGAGCTTTGTTAGTGTTGCGCGGTGAGCCCGGGGAGGCGCTCTCGCTGTCGCCAGCGTGTCACGCCGAACAGCCCAGGCCCCGGCGCAGCAGCGCCCCGCCGGCACGCGCTGCTACGTACACATGCACGCGTGTGTGTACGGGACGAACACGTGACGGCAGGGGGGGGGGGCAAACGGAGCCGCGTCGTCCGCACTACCCAGCAGTGTATGAGGCCTCAGCTCAGCGTAGTAGCTCGCAGTGCCGGCCGGGCGGGAGCCGGCTGGCCGCGAGTGACGGCCCGTCCTCCCGGTTAACCAATACTAGTAGACCTGCAAGTCCTGCACTTCCCGGGTCAACCATATGCATCATCTGACCCGATACGACAACTGTTTTGGGCGCCTGTCTGGTCCATGGCGCCATCATTCACAAGTTTCTGCCGGTTCACTTTCCTGCCGTCCTCACACATCGGTGCTGAGAACGGCTCGATGCCGGCCGTTCTGCCCTATGGCGGCGGTGGCGCCGTATTCAAACGGACAGGGGCATCACATCCAGCATCGAGGCTACGCTGCGCCACTGGCCGTGCAAAATCGATTTTTAACCTGTCTTTTCGTGTCTGGATTCGTCCTGGGTATGTCTGAATTCGCATCGGACGTGCATCACGCGAACTGAACGCATAAACCCCACGTGACCGGACTCAACTCGGAGCCCACATGAACTGGAACCTGTGCCAAACGCATGGCAAGTCGACAACACCAAACAAAACAACGTCAACCAGCACGTGGGCGGCCTGTTGATCGCATGCCGCGATCGCTGCCCCAGATGACGCCCGGGCGACGTGGCGACAGCTGCGTGGTGTTGACAATGGGCGCGATTTTTCTTCCAGCGTCCACACATTGATTGTGGCGGTCGCAGTCCGGCTCCGCGGGGCTCGATAACGCAGTATCATTATTTACCGGCCGCGCGACCCTCGCCCATATACCGTGATAAACTGTCCAGCGCGATTCCAACCTCATCTTAACGCACATCTACGAGGCTATAGGTTGCGTAAGTGGGCGCTGGATTACCGCGATAACCAGTAGCTACTAGACGAAACCGGGCAGCACAGAAAATCCTCCAGCAGCTTTGAATCCTAGTGGGTCTTCTCCCCTGGCGCAGCGCTGTGCAGCGCTATGAGTACGCAGTGGCCAGCCCACATCCGACAGCTGGCCGGCGCGTGTCGCACGACGTGGTGACGTCAAGTTAAAGCCAGTGCTGACGTCACACACGCGGCCCTAACAGCGTCGCCGTCCATCCCCGATCCCCCATACGGCGAGGTCCGACCAGCACCGGCTGACCCTGAGCCAGGCCTGTACGACGCCGGCCCACCAGCCGCTGCAGCGGGTCGCGCCGGCGCCGGCCACCCCTCAGCAGCTGCCCAGGCCGGCGGCGGTGAGTCGCCCCCTCACCTGGCGGCGCGCCGCAGTGCTGCCGGACCGTCTGCATCAGCTCGGGCCCGGCCCAGTCGGCGCAGACGCCCAGCTGCGAGAACACGGCCGCCGCCGAGAACCGCTCCAGCGCCGAGCCGGGCGGCGGCGGCGCCGGCCGCCGCGGCTGCGCGCTCACCAGGCTGCTCCAGTCGATCGCCAGCGCGTCCACCAGACCTGCGCGCCCGTCACGCACCGCACCCGTCACGTGGCCGTCACACATGGGCCCGTCACGTGGCCGTCACACCCGGGACCTGTCGCGTGGCCGGCACGAATCAGACCTGTCACATGCCTTCTACATATCGCAGATACTGGGTGTTCCAGTAGAAAGGCACGACTTATTTGTCCTCCTGTCTTTGGTGAAACAGTTGAGACCTAAAACCACTTTCAGTAGAATACCCAGGCCTCCAGCAAATGTCACACAAATTTCAAAAACTTGTGCCGTACACGCATCCTTACTGAGCAGAAGGAATTGTACACATGTTTGCGTGATACAGCTCGGTAAAGACGATCACATGCGTCTAACTGTCTTCGTAGTTTGAGCGTAAGCGCTCGCTCGTGACCGAAAAGCTCGTGCCGCCAGCCAGCCGAGTGGCCACGTGACGCGCTACTCACTCTGCGGCCTGGCCTCCGGCGGGTCCACGCCATCAGCCTCCTCCTCATCTTCCTCAGCGGTGGTGGCGGTGGCGGTGGCGGCGGTGGCGGTGATGGCGGCCGCGCCGGCCGCGGCGGTGTCTCGCGGCCGGTCGTCGGCGCTGGGGCGGCGGCGCGCGCCGGCGGCCGGTGCCGAGCCGCGCGAGCCAGGCCGCTCGCCGTCGTGACCCGAGTCGTCCTCGAACGTGATCTCCTCCTCCACCACCTGGCCGGCCGCAGGAGCGGGTCATGCTCGGGATGGAAGAGCCCGCCTGCCGGTCCCCACCGCGTGCAGAACGGAGGGCCCGGTGGCCCCCGCCGCTGCCCGCCAATGGCTCATTGTACTTCCGTCCTCTCCCCCAGCCACGGCCAAAATACCGGGCCTTCCAGTTTTGTTCACGGCATTGCAACATATTAAAGTAGCATTGCACTGCAATACCAATGCAATGTTCCCACGTCCGACTAACACGGAAAACGTGAAATTTCTCATGGTTAAGAGCGAAATAATACGGACGGAGACTGCGTCACAGCGATAGGAGACCAGCAGATTCTGACACATAACAGAGACAATCGTAGCAACAAGTGCAACCCGTTACCTGGAGACGGCCACAAGCCCCGGTGTTTGCGCTACGGGTCCGGCAACTTATGGCCGGTTTTCAGGTTTAACGTAAGGTCTGCGCAGCCGGAGCCGGTGCTGGCGTGAGACCAGCCGCACAGAGGAGACCGATGTACCAGGCACAACTCACAAACGCTCAAAACTGTCTGACGCGTGGCTGCGCAGGTAATCGACCGCAGGGTGGACGATGACACATGTTCTGAAGCCTATCTCTAATGCGGCCTGGAACAGGATAGGTAGCCCGACCCATTACCACTGCATAGGCCTATAGTCATGTACACTGCTACTACGGTGAAGCTCAAAGACGCCACTTTGGTCGCAATTCCGTACGAGCGTCATCATCGAAATGCATACATTTCGTCGATTATACTGTCGGGTCGGTCCAGGGAAGGGTAAGAGAGGACCGGCGAACAAAGTTTCGTACGTAAATTGCAGTTATGTACTTAAAATCAGCAGCTTTCATCAGCGCCATGTACTAAAATTACAGTTTGCAGTTGCACGCACTAATCATGCATTATTCTACTCCTACCTACGATGCATCCGACCCGACCCAGTCCGTCGACCTAGGGCAAGTAAGCCACAAGCGCACGACTACCTCGTCCTCTCGGTTGAGAATCTTGTCTACCTCGTCCTCTCGGTTGAGAATCTCGTCTACCTCGTCCTCACGGTTGAGAAGCACGCCTACCTCGTCCTCTCAGTTGAGAAGCACGCCTAACTCATCTTTTCGGTTGAGGATCTCGTCTACCTCATCCTCTCGGTTGAGAAGCACGTCTACCTCGTCCTCTCGGTTGAGAAGCACGCCTACCTCGTCCTCTCGGCTGAGGATCTCGTCTACCTCGTCCTCTCGGTTGAGGATCTCGTCTACCTCATCCTCTCGGTTGAGAAGCACGCCTACCTCGTCCTCTCGGTTGAGAATCTCGTCGGCGTCGTCGGAGAAATCCGACAGCGACTCGGCTTGCAGCCCGTCACCAGCGGGCGCCACCTCCACGCCGCCGGATGCCGCCGCCTCCGCGGCACCGGGCGCCGCCGAACCCGAGGCCGACTCTGGGCCGCTGCAGGGCATGGACAGTGTGAGAGAGTGCAGCCAACACCTACACGGCCAAAAACGCGTGTTGTAGATGTCGGTACGAGTGGTGAGACGAGTGAGACGAGACGAGTACGAGTGGTGAGACGTAAGCCTGACAGGGACACTCCAGCTCCGCCAGATGATCACGTGACTGGGCTGGCCCACTGGCTGGCGTGTACCCCTGCCCCTCGAGCCCAGTGACGCCTTAGACCTGGCCCCGCCCAGCCCGGCCCGGCCAGCTACGCCTCAAACCACACTCCATGGCCGGGAGCCCTCTGGTGCACCGAGCGTCGTTCGTCCCCATACCACCGCGGGGTAACAGGATCCTGGACACGGACCCATCCAGCACAGACAGGGCGGGCAGCAGCAGCACAGGACGGGCGGCTCGACACGCACCGCTGCCTTCAGTCCGCCTCCGTCTGCGCCCCTGACGGAGCCGATTCCGGACGGGCGGCACGTGTGTCCCCAGCATCGCGACATCACTCACTCCTGGTCGGCGGCGGCGCCCTCCGGCTTCTGCACCCAGGTCTCCTTGTTGGCATCGTAGTTCCACACCTCGCCTGGCAGCGGCTGCTCCCTCTCACGGGACGCCCGCACCACATCGGACGGAGGTCCATCTGCAGCACAGCAGACACATGCGGCTGAGACCGGTACCACATCGGACGGAGGTCCCTCCGCGGCTCAGCAGATACGCGCGGCTGAGAACGGCACCACATCGGACGGAGGTCCCTCCGCGGCTCAGCAGATACGCGCGGCTGAGAACGGCACCACATCGGACGGAGGTCCCTCTGCAGCACAGCAGACACACGCGGCTGAGAACAGCGCCACATCGGACGGGGTCCCTCTGCAGCACAGCAGATACGCGCGGCTGAGAACGGTACCACATCTAACGGAGGTCCCTCTGCAGCACAGCAGACACGCGCGGCCGAGAACGATACCACATCGGACGGGGTCCCTCTGCAGCACAGCAGATACGCGCGGCTGAGAACGGCACCACATCGGACGGAGGTCCCTCTGCAGTACAGCAGACACACGCGGCTGAGAACGATACCACATCGGACGAAGGTCCCACTGCATCACAGCAAACACGCGGCTGAGAACGGTACCACATCAGACGGAGGTCCCTCTGCAGCACAGCAGACACGCACGGCTGAGAACGGTACCACATCGGACGGAGGTCCCTCTGCAGCACAGCAGACACACGCGGCTGAGAACGATACCACATCGGACGGAGGTTCCTCTGCAGCACAGCAGACACACGCGGCTGAAAACGATATCACATGGGACGGAGGTCCCTCTGCAGCACAGCAGACACGCGCGGCTGAGAACGATACCACATCGGACGGAGGTCCCTCTGCAGCACAGCAGATACGCGCGGCTGAGAACGGTGCCACATCGGACGGAGGTCCCTCTGCAGCACAGCAGACACACGCGGCTGAGAACGATACCACATCGGACGAAGGTCCCTGCAGCACAGCAAACACGCGCGGCTGAGAACGGTACCACATCGACGGAGGTCCCTCTGCAGCACAGCAGACACGCGCGGCTGAGAACGGTACCACATCGGACGGAGGTCCCTCTGCAGCACAGCAGACACACGCGGATGAGAACCGATACCACATCGGCGGAGGTTCCTCGCAGCACAGCAGGACAACGCGGCTGAAAACGATATCAATGGACGGAGGTCCCTCTGCAGCACAGCAGACACGCGCGGCTGAGAACGATACCACATCGGACGGAGGTCCCTCTGCAGCACAGCAGATACGCGCGGCTGAGAACGGTGCCACATCGGACGGAGGTCCCTCTGCAGCACAGCAGACACACGCGGCTGAGAACGGTACCACATCGGACGGGGTCCCTCTGCAGCACAGCAGATTCGCGCGGCTGAGAACGATATCACATCGGACGGAGGTCCCTCTGCAGCACAGCAGACACGCGCGGCTGAGAACAATATCACATCGGACGGAGGTCCTTTCGCGGCTTAGCAGACACATGCGGTTGAGAACGATATCACAGCACGCCGCTTAGACAGTGTCCGCGGTCGGGCAGTAACAGCATTCATTAATCTCCCCAATGCACCCACTAATATCCCCGATGCCTCAAATCTCCCCAACTCTCTCCCTGGCTCTACTCCTCCATTGTTCCGCTGTTCGTCACGAATGCACGGGAAGAATGGACTAGCGGAATGGACTTGGAAAGGAGAATGAGGACCATTTGTTGGCCGAATGATTCAACCGCAATAGACTGCGACAAAGCCATTTGATCCTGAAGTAGCCCTCGAGACCCAGAAGAGCCCCCAGGGGTCAGTCAGCGGCCCCCAGCAGACTCGCAGAGCGGGGTTCCAGACCGCCATGCAGCGCAAGTCACCTGTGCGCTGAGCGCTGGGTGATGCCGCGCGGTCGTCGTCGTCTCCGCCACTGCCGCCCTCCTCCGACCTGGCGAGCACGGCCGGGAGATCAGCACTCCCTCCCGTGCGCAGAGCAGACCGTCACTGCGTCACGAGCACAACCCACAAAAGCACACCAACACGGCGTGTCGGTCCCGGCCGGCCTGCCGGGCAAGGGTGCGTGCCTAAGAACGGCTGAGTGAGCGCTCGCTGGCGCCGCCGTCGGCCGACCGACCGGGCGCCCCGCTGGTCCCGCCAGTCCGCTGTGCCGGCCTCACCTGACCTCGTCGCGCACGATCATGTCGCCCGGGTCGGGCAGCGGCTCCAGCTCCGGCTCGGGCTCGAAGTAGCCGGCGGCGCCGCCGTGGTAGCCGGCGCGGCGGAAGGCGGCCGGCGCGCGGCCCAGCCGCGGCGGCGGCCCGCCCCAGTCCACCGCCGCCCGACGGAAGCCCGGCCCGCGGCCCGGCGGCGACCAATCGCGCGCGCGCGGCGGGCCTCGCGGCGGCGGAGGTGGCGGAGGCGGAGGCGGCGGCGGCTCGTCGTACGGCAGCCAGTCGTCGGCGCGGGGCGGCAGCAGCCGGTCCAGGCTGCCGGCCAAAGATGGGCCACATGCGCCTCAGGCATGCGTCATGCGTCAGTCAGGTGTCAGCCAGAGATCAGACAGGGGTCAAATAGATCTTAACTGTCGGACTCACAGAAACATTACAGGAGCTTTGTTCAGGAAGAAGCCCAAAATGGGTACATTATCAAGTTTGTCCGTGCATCCCGGAGCTCCACTGCGGCAGCTGACAAAACACCCAATCTGACCTGCACCGTCTCGTGAGGTGCCCCGGGTCTGACCTGCACCCCGTTTCGTGAGGTGTCCGGGGTCTGACCTGTACCCCGTTTCATGAGGTGTCCGGAGTCTGACCAGCACCCCGTCTCATGAGGTGGGTCTGACTGCCCCGTCTCGTGAGGGGGTCTGACCTGACCGTCCTAGGTGCCCGGGTCTAACCGTCTCGTGAGGTGCCCGGGTCTGACCTGCACCGTCTCGGACGTGCCCTCACGAGGTGCGGTTGACCTGTACCGTCTCGTGAGGTGCCTCGGGTCTGACCTGCACCGTCTCGTGAGGTGCCTCGGGTCTGACCTGTACCCCCCCGTGAGGTGCCTCGGGTCTGACCAGCACCCCGTCTCGTGAGGTGCCTCGGGTCTGACCTGCACCGTCTCGTGAGGTGCCTCGGGCCTGACCTGCGCCGGTCGTCGCCGTGGCGGACGTAAGGCGGTCGGGAGGGCCGGTCGTCGGTGAGAGGCGGTCCAAGCAGTGGCCTCCTGCCATCCCGACCAGGCGAGAAACGGCGCGGCGGCAGCAGCGCCACCTCCTCGTAGGGCAGCGGCTCTGCGGGCGGCCAACATCACACTCTGACGCGGCGGCCCAACAACACGAGACAGCCGGAGACAGCGGCGACACCTCCTCGTAGGGCAGCGGCTCTGCCGGCGGCCAACACCACACTCTGACGCGGCGGGCTCACAACACCACACGCCAGGCGGCAGCAGCGGCACCTCCTCGTAGGGCAGCGGCTCTGCCGGCGGCCAACACCACACTCTAACGCGGCGGCTCACAACACCACACATCCGGCGGCAGCAGCGGCACCTCCTCGTAGGGCAGCGGCTCTGCGGGCGGCCAACACCACACTCTGACGCGGCGGCTCACAACACGTGACAGCCGGAGACAGCGGCGGCACCTCCCCACAGCCAGCGTTATCCAGTTCGCGGTCCCACCACGACTGCGGACAGGGTGCAAAGAACAACGCCAATAATTTGATGTGGATAAACGGAGCCTATGTCCACCAAACGCCAGTCGAAGGTGTATCTAAAACCGCCTATCGCCGGTCGTCCATGTGTTAATGGCGCGCTTACATGGCAGCAGACGAAATACATCCAGCCTGCCTGGGTATCGATCTCTTCCGGTCAGTCAAACCACGTCATTTTGGAGGCCGAGCGGCGTGCAGTATACTGTTTGAGACCCAAGTTGCTTTATGACATGCGCTGTGACGTCACAGATGCCCGTGGCACAGCTCACGGTAGTCACAATTTCTAGTGAGTGCCGTGTAATGAGCTGGTATGAATACATGGTATTCTTGGTATTCTCCGATACAATCATAACTTTTAGATCAATCACGTAACAAGAAGGCCAAGCGTTTTTTTGTGAATATCTTACGCGTTTGAGCAGCAAGCCTGTATATACTCTTTATTTTATATACACCATCAGCTTTTGCTCCCTGAGACATTAACAAAACTGTGACCAAAAATTATAGTTCAGTTTACAGCAGCGCACGCTCTAGAATAGTTGGGTATTTATCTCTGCACAAAAGTGAATGTAACACTGACCACCCCTCCAGCCCTAAGGGAATAAAACTACCCATATATATACAGCCCGTCTTCGCAGCTTTCACGATTACTACGAAATATTCTGTACTTCCGCAAGCCATGCTTGAATGAGACAGGAACAATTTATCTAAATTAGCAGGAAACCTAGTGATATATATATATATATATATATATATATATATATATATATATATATATATATAGTATTATACGTATAACTGGTGTCCGGAAGAAAGCGGGTCGGCGTAGAAGGCAGCGGCCCTAGCATCCTTTTATAGGTTGAATAATGCAAAACTTTGGTAGATTTATGGTTGGGAACATTGATCAAATAACCATGCTGAAAACGCTACTATACGCTGGTGTTTACTGCATTAGTAATGTATCCATACGATCACATTCCTTGAAATGACACGCTACGTTATGAGAGATAAAGAACACCAAGAAAGCGTTCGTTATGTCTGGAAATGGCACAAGTCAGCGGGAATAAAATATGTCATGTAATGACTAATCTGTAGCACCCGAATAGTTTACGCATTGCACAGCGCTGGTGATCTTTGTGTTTTATAAAATCGTAATACAAAACAAATATCCCACGAGACCACCGGCGACAGAAACATCACGCCATCAGAGACCGGGGGCACCAGGGACCCCGACGTAGCCTCGGACATTTCCGAGCACGTCAGTCGGCCACCAGCCTCACGCAACACGACGCAGTGGTCCTCCTCCCCAGAGGCGAGTATGCTCCGGCCGTGAGGAAACAACACCCGCGTCACAACACCGCCCGGCCGCGGTCGGCGCTGGGACGTACCCCGGCCGTAGTCGGGCGGCGGGCGGGCAGGCCGGTCCCACTGGCGCTCGCGTGGGTCATCCCTCCGGCGCCGCTCCTCCTCTTTCCTGTCCTCCCACACTCTGTCTGCCGGGCTCCGCCTGGTAACATGGGTAAACATTGTCTTGCAGCTGGTTTTCAGTCGGCTGAAAAGTCCCGTCAGTATTCGGAGCGAGGTGGAAACATGTATGCCTGTCTTCATCTCATAAAACAAACCACATCCACCGTTGCTGCCACGGCTATTCTCAACGCAACCGTATTTCCAACCTTCACCCCCACGGTCTCCTACCTCCGCTCCAGGTCAGCTTCTGATCGTTCCTTTCAAGTCTTGCCGGCGCATAAACACTGCTTCATTCACGGGTTTCTCGGGTGCCGTCCATCAAGTACGTTACGCATTTTTGGCCATTTTCAGCCCTGCATCCCATCTGGTTACGCATTGGTTGCGTTCGGTGAAAGTTTCTTCCCTTTCCCTGGTTATGTTGTGTAAGGCGTAACGTCCCTGAAAAAGTACTGTCGTTTGGTCCCTAACTGAGCTAGAGACGACAGACAAATAGCGGGCGTGTTACTTGTCAGGACATGAAGCCTATGGTATCCAGATTTAAGATCTTAATTTGCTTTTAAAGATTTTAGCATAATTTGTAATCGCACCTGATCGTAACGGCATGCAGTTCAAAATATACTCTTTACTCTAAGTTACCCTCTCGCCATGCACCATCCTCCTCCTCTCCACGCGTTACGTAATTTTTGGACGGCCCGTCAGACGAATCACTATGGAAAATGAAGCATTCCTTTCTTGGAGCGCTGATACTTGATTCTGCCACGGATTGTGAAGGAAATTGGTGGACAACGCATTTCAAAACTTTATATTAGCAAGAAAGCAGTTGACCTCCTGACCTTTAGGTAGAGAGCTGAGATATATTATTCTGACAATAATCGGCCTTCAGCATACCAGGAGGTACTGGTTAAGCCATGTTTTCAAGGAAGCATTGGCAACTAGACGTTTCGAAGCTGTGCTCGTGGTTACGAGAGGCCATTCAAGACGATGAACCTATGCTACGCCTTCGCTATGCTGCGTTACGCTGTGCTATGCTATACTACGCCTTCGCTATGCTGCGTTACGCTGTGCTATGCTATGCTATGCTATACCATGCTACGCTATAATATGATATGATATGATATGCACTATGTTAACAGTCATGCAGAGCAGGCGGTTGTCCATCATTGCTAGCACTCGTACCAGCATTAGCTTAAGAACAAATTATCTTAGTTTTCTATCTAATAGATTATCAAGGCCAAATAATAAGAGCCTATGCTGACAATTGAGGTCGTTCTGAAGGGCTCTTTCTTATACCGAGGCGCCATTATGAACGTCATCTTAAATGTTATACCACTGATGACTTTCAGGAGCCATAAAACATCCACAGCATGATGCTTGCTTACATGGTTCGTAACTCTGGTTTTCGGGTGGACTGATGGTGAATGACTTTAGGTCAGAGAAAACTAGAAATTCAAATGTGGGCGTGAGTGGACGGCATTGCTGCTAAATTGTCCTAGCATTATCCTGATCATACAAGTCAACCACCCACTAGCGCCATTTTGAGGCCTTCTTGCATCAGCTAGCAACAATCATGGAAACTGCACTGTGTTGCCAGGACAGCGGACCGAAGAGTTTGCCCCGCTGACAGACGAACGATCAAAGTCACCGGTCGTCCATTGTCTGGCCGGATAATGGGTGGGCGATGAAAGCCGCTGCTCGCGTCACATACGTGTCCAACTTTTCGCTGAGCCTGTCATTTGCATTGGTTATGCTCGCGTTTGCAATGGAGGAAACCAATCAGCGCGGTGAAATGCATTTTTGACCACAGAAAACATATGTAACTAAATGACACTTCAGTGTTGATTTGCATCTTGGCATACTTCCCTGTTTTAAGCTTGTCAAATTCCCCATATTTTCGGATGTCGTGCCAATGCGCGGCAATGAAACCGTTTGTTGCACGAGTCTAGACATGAGGGCTAATAGAACTACCTTACGAAGCGGACTATTTCCTCACATCAGAGGCTGGCACATAAAGCTATCCCAAAAAGTGGGAAACGCTGGTCGCGTCCGTTCACAGCATCCATCATCTGATAAACAAAGCTACGAGAGGACATCCAACGGAGTGGGTCAGGCAGCATGGGACGAGCCAAGCTCCTTGACCAGGGACCAGGGACATGCCAGCTGGGTCGCGGCAGCGGCGTCTGGGGCTCGGCAGGCGAGGCCGCCTGCTCACCGAGTCGCCGCAGGCTCGAGCGGCTTGGGTCGCGGCGGCGAGCGGCGCTCCTTGCGGTCAGCGCGCTCCCGCGTGCTGCTGGCCGCTCGCCGGTCGAACGTGGGCAGCCGGGCGGGCGACCTGGCGCCCCACCAATACAGCTGAGGTCAGGTCACCAAACACAGCAACGGCATCACAAAAACAACAAAACAACCCCGCCAGAGCACCCCCCGAGCACTACCTCAGAGTGCCCGCCTCGACAACCCCCAGTCGGAGCGCACCCGAGCCGGCGGCCCAGCTGCAGAGGCGCGCCGGCGCGGTGGCCCACCTGACTCGGCCGCGCTCGGTGGAGCGGCGGCGGCTGTCGCGGCGCGAGCCGGTGCGCGGGGAGCGGCTGGCGCGCCGCCGCGGCGACGGCGTCCTCTTGCGCGCGCCGGGCGTCAGTCGGCGCGGTGAGCGGGACCTGGCGGTTTGGGACAGAAAAGGAGTCACGACCCGACCACGACTCATGGCTAGGATCATAGGTTAACATCGGGTTAGGTATCAAGACAAGAGTCATAATAAAGAAAACATCGCGGTCTGAGCCAGGTTCAGGACAGGGTATCAGCCTCACCGTCTCAGAGGGACGAACCTAGCTGACCCTCTGCAACCTCAGCTCATGTTCCGTGACATCCCTGCGGCCGTGCACGACGCACTGGGTTCGGCGGACCAGCGGCAGGAGTCGTGTTGGTTGGCCTGAATTGAGCGCGCGCGACTGGCGACGGCCGGCGCCGGTTCCTATTCCGTCTGTGATATTCTGTTTTGAACGCGAACGTGCGCGTCAATGACGCGGTCGATGCGGGAAGGATGGGGCTCAAATCCGAACGCTCCAGCCGCTCCTGTCCTACGCCGCTCCGGATCATATGGCTGCTCACACGACTGAGACTCCGGCGGGGACCAAATGAGACGTAACGCACTCGATTCAGACTTCCCGCCTCGGTAGCTCCCACCATGGTGAGGCGGCAAGCCGTAGATGCGAGTCCGGATGGATCCGCGCGTTTGCGCCACCTCTGACACACACTTTGACACATCGCTTTCCTTACTGACCAAGGGCGGTGACAGCCATGAGTTCGTTGCAGACGGCCCAACTCTGCGTCTCGGCGTGTCCGTGTCTGCCTGGTCACAAACACGGTCGGTCGGTCGACGGCGCCGCAGTGCCGGTTCGGCCGGCGTACCTGATCCGGGGCGAGCTGGAGTGCCGTCGCGGCGAAGGGCTCCGCTTCCGGTCACGTGACCTGGATCGTTTGCGGCCGCGGGACGAGCTGCGCCGCGCCACCGAACCAGTGGCCGTCAGCTGAGCTGCGGCGGAGACGCAGAGAGTCAACTGAGCTGCGGCTGGTATACAGAGCGCCAGCTGAGCTGCAGCGAGTATACAGAGCGTCAGCTGAGCTATCGCGGGACACAGAGCGTCAGCTGAGCTGCAGCGAGTATACAGAGCGTCCGCTGAGATGCGGCCGACACAGAGCGTCAGCTGAGCTCCAGCAGGGCACAGAGCGTCAGCTGAGCTATCGCGGGACACAGAGCGCCAGCTGAGCTGCAGCGAGTATACAGAGCGTCCGCTGAGATGCGGCCGACACAGAGCGTCAGCTGAGCTCCAGCAGGACACAGAGCGCCAGCTGAGCTCCAGCGGGACACAGAGCGTCAGCTGAGATGCAGCGGGTATACAGAGCGTCCGCTGAGATGCGGCGGGACACAGAGCGTCAGCGGAGCAGTCAGTACAACAAGCCGCGGATTGTTTGTCGGACACTATCTTAACTCACCTGGAGGGAGATAATAATGCCAGGCAGAGAGGTAACACATAACCAGGGACCAAATAGTCACCTAACCATTGCAGCGTGAGCTGCAGGGGTTATGGTGTCATTAATTGAAATGTATCCTAAACTCTAGCTGATAATTATGCAGCCATGAAGAAAATTTCAATAAAAATGTGTCGCAGCCGACATAATGCCACACCACATAGACGATATTTGAATATTGGTTGGATTATTAGCTGTTGATTCGCAGCTATTTGAACTGTCAGACGTCAAGCAAAGCCAGCGGTGCCGGCGTTTCGTCTCGCCCTCCTCACCCGGCCAGCACCACCAGCGGCGCGTGGACAGCGTACCTTTGCCCTTGCCAGAGTTGCTCCTACGCTTCTTGGGCGGCGGCCCGGCCGTCTTGCGCGCTGGCGAGGCGGCCAGCTTCTTTCCGAGCGGCTTCTTGGCGGCGAGAGGCTTCTTCTTGTCGCGCCGCTTCCTGGGCGGCGGCGAGCGTGACCTGTCCCGTCGCTTCCGCGAGTCGCTCGAGCGGTGTCGCTTCTTGGCCCGCCTCTTCCGCTGCTCGTCCTCCGACGACGACGATGAGGACGAGTCGGACGAGCCGGAGGACGACGAGCTGGACGAGCTGCTCGATGACGACGAGCTGCGACTGCGCGGTCGTTTGACCTGCGGAGCGGGTCGCGTGATCACTGTGGCTTTCCATTAATGCAACGTAAGCATAGTGCCCCGAGAGTGGGGCTTTACGGCAACAACCTGACAATGTACCCAGTTCGAGAAACAAGCTTCAGACAAAGGAATACTCGTATTTGTTCGTCATACCACACAGCAGCATAAAAAGAACACATTGCTCTGACAACGTGTAAAGCTGATTGAACTTAATGTTCCCGCTTCATTCTTATACATTTCGACGCTCACAAGGCATGACGAAAATACAACAATATTTCATGCTCCAGCAGCGTTATACCTAAGTGGCACGACCCCCTCCCCCGCTTTTGTTTCTTGGTAGCTCCATACTCATTCGACGGCTCATAATACAGAACACATTTGTTTAATTGAGGGGGAGGGGGACATGCATCTTGCTACGGATGCCAACGGTTCCCATCATCTCACGCCCAGCAACCGGAATATAGAGTTGACTGCGGTTTAAAAATAGCGCTGAAAGGAATACATTACGATACCCTAGGCTGAAATGGAAATCGATCCGCCGGATCGGAAACAAGTACAAATCTGCGCCCCCGACGAGCTTTTGTGATGTGAGCTTTTAGACTAGAACTAGAAATAAAACTTCCGTGATAGGAAATTTTGCCCTAAATCAGTTTTTGCGATATGAGCTTTTGCCCGCAACAAACTTTTGCCTCGTACAAACCTTTGCACCCCACAAACCTGGTAGGTAGAATGTTGCCCTAAGCAAGCTTTTGCCTGGTGCGAAATTGTACTCTGAACGAAATTCATGTAGACGTCCTTCTGCGAGATGATCTTTTGCACTAGACGAAGTTTTGACCAACGAACTTTAGCCTCCTTGAACTATTGCTCGACGTCCTACTGTCCCACAGGATTTGGAAGAGGAACTTTCGCACGGAAAACCACGTACGCATATTGCGACGGTTTGTTGGGTTTCTGCTTCAGCATGCCGTCGGACTGCCGCTGTAATGAAGATTACTAGATATTTGATGCAAGAATATCGTAGCTCTCACAAAAACACTCAGCGCACACACAGAGTACCGGTGCACAAGCACACAGCTGGATAAATCTGCTTTCCTCCACTGGTTGTCTCACGCCGATAACTTCACGTTCAAATGCATAATACCAGCTCTGACGTTTACGAGACCCTGGGCCATCAGTTATGCCAACAGATGATGATGATATGGATGGCGATATCCAGAGGACTACTCACGTTATGTGGTTGGTATTCTGCTTTCTTGCTTAACGTGGCACTTGGCATTACTGAGTCGTCTAGGTATTACGGGGTCTCCGTACGTACCTGTTTAAGTGTTGCCAGTATGGGAACACATGATGCCAGCATGTTCGCATACCAGCTGTGCAGTGCACTGTCACCAACAGCCAAATAACATTCACACAGTTAACTGACCCTTTTCTTCTTGATATCCTTTGGTATCTTTTCTGGCTCCTTCAAGACTTGAGTCTTCTTTGGCAGCATTCGATCTTCAGAAGGCTCCAAGTCTTTTTCTATATGTTTCTTTAAGAATACACGAGGTCATTAGTTTTCCTTTGAAAATTAAATGACGATGGTCAACATCCTTCCAAACTGCTTCAAGTACGGAAATGTCATCTATGGTCTTCTTCATATTAATGCTGTTAATTCAGCTGAAGGTGAGGTGCCATTTGGCCAGGCAAGGCAACAAACCTGCCATTGATGTGCATTATGACATTTTTGGGTGCTATGTGTCAAGATTAGCCCATGATATATATATATATATATATATATATATATACATATATATATATATATATATATATATATATATATATATATATATATATATATATATATATATATATATATATACATATATACTACCCAACTTTCCAACAGCTCTGTTATTGTTACATTTGTAATATGATGAAACATTATGTCAAATAACTTCATACATGATGTTCCTGTTTACTAATGTTCACCATGTTCTTGAATCACAAACTGAATATCATCTGCCCCCACCAAAACCTTATAAGCAATCACATATATTACCTCTTTGCCAGCTTTGTTAGTTTTTGGTCGATTTCCTTGTTTCCTGAAACATATCGGTGAATATTACCAACCAAGAGGCATGTGCTATATCCAGATTATTAAAGCGCATAAACTTTCCCAAACGGCCAGTAACGATACCACAATCTCGCATCACTGTTAGCTTACATTCTTAGCCTAACAGACCATGCTGCACGTGAATCCAGAGTTAAGCCTATGCCCGCCAAGCCAACAGCACATCCAATACAGTATAGAAGATGCGATGCCAGCAATACAAATACAAATCACCTTGCAATGATGAAAGAGTATTGCATCAATCAATGAGCCCTTGGCCAGATCTGATTTACAAAAAGAATATACACCAATGTCAAAAAAACAACTCACAGCTTGGGCTGGGGCATCCCTGGTTTTGTGCCCAGCCTCTCGAAAACACTGGGCCGCTTTGGTAATTCGACGCTTATCTTCCGACGAGATGACATATTTGACGTCAACCTAGACGTAAGTTACTTATGTCACCTGAAATTGAGACAATATCACTAGAAATGCTGGTCATGAGGGCCCCAAGGTGTTACAGAGGTCACAAATGAGGTAACATTGTTTCAGGTCAGGACAATGAGACTTCGGGCAAGGTGGGGCGGCGTCAT